AACCAAGAGCCAACATTATTCTCGATGGAGAAAGACTTAAAACATGCCACTTGTGAACCAGGCAAAGCCGTTTACTATCACCACTCCTGTTCAGTATTGTACTGGAAATTCTGTTTAGGCCAATAAACAAAAGAAGGAAATAAGAGGTCTCCAAATTGGCAAAGACACGATGAAACTGTCACTATATGTATATAGATATAGATATGTGTGTGTGTGTGTGTGTGTGTGTGTGTGTGTGTGTGTGTGTGTGACACAGAAAACCCCTAAGAAAGCCTGTTAGACCTAGTAGATCAATTTAGTAAAGTTGCAAGATAATAAGATTAACATACAGAAATCAGTTGGATTTCTCTACAGCAGAAAGAATGGAAAAGAAAACTAGAAAGGCAATACCGTTTATAATACCTTGGTAATTATAAATGTCAAAATGAAATACTTAGAAATAAACCTAAGATGAGGATATACTTAGATATAAACCTAACTGGAGAAACAAATGAGCTTTTAAGTAAAACTACAAACACTGCTACAAGAAACAGACATCTAACTAAATGGAAAAATATTTCCTATTCATGGGTATGAAGACTGAACATTGTGAACATGACAGTCCTACCAAAAGCAATCTACAGGTTCAGTGCAATCCCAGTACAGATACCAAACATTTTTAAGGAGGTTAGAAAAGGCAGTTTCCAATTTTATCTGCAAAGAGACCCATTGCAACCATTATGAAGATAATTTAGGATTGAGCAGTATTTTATTCTACATGGGTCACTATGGCCTGGAGCCTAATTGACAATACCTAACAAGTGCAGTAGGGGTAAATTAATGAAGATAGAAACTTTTGTAGAAATTTGTGGAAGATAAATGAAAAGCATTATGATGCTATCTCACTTAGTTTAAACAGGGACTGTGATATAGCTTCATAATTTGGGCCCTGTAAAGGTCAGAGAAACATCTAGAGATTTAAGACCAAAAAGTGCAGTTGTTTATCTGTGAAACAAGTTGTAAAAAAAGCAAAGGTCACATGGGGATGGCCCTATCCTCCTACTACAGAAGGAGGAATTGTCCCTGTCAACAACATCCACAACACAAAACCAATTCTCATGAGAATATTCCCCCATATGCTTCCACACCTTTTTCTACTCATCCCAATATCAATCTTCTCCACTTCTAAAATCCATCGTGGTAGCTGACAGACCACAAAGAACCGTATTAGGAAAGTCAAAGATTTGCAGCAAGATACAATCACTCAGTCCGGACAGCTGCTGAAACGGACATGCAGGCACCTCAACCTTCAGCCTCACCACAGCCTTAAGCCAGTGTTACAAAGCTCTTTTTTGTTGTTGTTAAGTGCTGTAGAGTTGTACACAACCTATAGTAACCCTATGAATGAAAGTCTTGAACACAAAAGTTTCATCTTTTCTCGACATTCATAGTTTCTGGAGGCAAGCTTTTTTCGGAAGTGGACTCATCTTTCGAACCTGGAAATAGCCCCAGACTGACAGCCAAAAGCCTTTGAAATACGAGGCCAAATCTAGTCAGCTCACACCCTATTGCGAGCAACAGCCAGACCCTAGTCATATGTGATCATATTAATGGGTGATGAGAAAGTATTTGACAATATTCAGGAACAGTTCAGGATGAAACCTTTAATACGATTCCTCTTGTTATGTGCCCCGGAGTCAACTACAACTCAAAGTGACCCTATAAGCTGTAACTCTGAACCCTTCCCTATCCTGGGTCAGTCTTATCATCTCTTACACACCTGCCCCATTGCCATAGTCACTGTGACTCTCAGACTAGGAATAGGGAATTTCTTCAGCTTGATAGAGGCCATATGTGAACCCTGGAAATAACTCCTTACTTGAAGATAAAAACTAAACATTTGCCTCTAAGATTAGAAAGGTATGAATATCAGTTCTTTTTTTTTCCAATAGCATTAACTTTTATTCATTCATGTTATGTCACCTGAAATGGTATCTGATGCATTTATATGCTTATTAATGTAAATGGCTGAACAAATCCATTTCAGTGGATGGATACTCAGTATCCCACATAGTAAAGTCACTTCAACACAGCTGTGTTTCAACTTCCACACCAAAACAGTACTTTATTTTGTAAATTTTGACCCATTATTATTCCCATTTTATGGTTTTTTCAGCTGTCAAATGTACAAGGTGAAGAAAAACTTTCAACTGGGTTGCACCTGGAAAATAAATTTCTTAAACTCCAGATCCTGTACATGTTTCAGAACTGCTGGGTCCCAAGTCCATCTTTGAACTCTAGGGTTGCCAGTATTATATGCAGCATACTAAAGCTACACTATTAGCTAATTAATTCTGCAAAAATCAGGTCAATCAATGTGTCAACCTGTAACTGTGCACTTTAACTGAACATAGCAGAATAGTCACTCTTGAACCTTACATCATCATTTGATGTCAAACAATGTAGCAAATCCCAACAGTATATTCAAAAACAGCCTTGTATTTACAAAAGCTTGTTTCCCATACAGATTAATCCAGGCAGCTAACTCATTGGTTTATACAACTTTATTGAAAAAAAAAGAAATCAATTATTAGCAGAGCTATTAGTTGATCACTCATCCATTGACAACTTGCATCATTTATTCAGTGCTATATTAAACAGTGTATTGCAAGATAGATTAACTAATAGCTCCAAGCCTCTTAACAATTTAAATAACAATTACAAAATGTTTGCGACCCTATTTTGGAATACAAAGGGTGTTTGACTTCCAATTTCCATTCCCTGTAGAACAAGAACAGGTCATTCCTTTATTGACATGCATAAAAATACATAACATTTCCTGTTTTTCTGATGCTGTAAATTCAATACCAATTCTCCAGCCACATCAGTTATGAGCATAAAGTATATCATGTAATCTCAAATCTCTGACAGTGGAAGGTTTAAAAAAGAATGTATGCTGTTAGAGTAATGCTGATTCCTTTGATGTGACAACTGAGCACCCATCTCCCTCCCCCTCAGATGATTTCTTCAGCATGTTAGAGCACTGAGGGATGGTGTTAGTCTCAGAACCAAGTTAGAGTGAAGACATTGTCCACATAATACACATGCTCCTTTAAAAAAAAAAACAAACCAAACAAAACCAATGTATCTTGGGCAACTGTTCTCTTGTAACTACAGTTTCTAAAAGCAGTTATTGTCCAAAGCTGGAAGAACTTAAGTCTTCTCAGATGAGCATGTGAATGAATGGAGGGAGGTAAACAAAAAGTAAAATTAAAAAAGATGAGGTCTGATAGGGGAGCAGCCAGATAAAACATAAAAAAAGGAAGAATAATTTAATGTTTATTCCAGCTCTAATGCAGGTTATTCTGACTTCAAGGTAGCATCACATGGCATACTTCTGAGTCCATTCCCGAGATATTCTGTTGTATTTATCTCTGTCTGTTTTATAGATCCGTGCAATCTCTGGCACTAGGAGGTCATCTGGGTTCGGATCGTACAGCAGTGAACAAATGGATAAAAGAACTTTAGAAATAGTTAAAGCAGGAGACCAGTGATCTTAGTATATCGAGACAAATGCTGCCATTACTGTTAATATTTGGGTGATAAATTCTTGTTGTAAATGTAACGTTAAGTGGTTTGAAGGGGTAGTCTGTAGTAAAAGGAATTGTCAAAAAGAATACACTCTTGGCGAGCTCTGGTGGCCTAGTGGCAAAGAAGCTGCATTGCAATCCCAGAGGTACAGGGTTTGAATCCACCAGATGCTCTGATGAAGAAGGAGGGACAATCTCCTCCAGTGCCAGTCAGATCTGATTTGATGGTACACACAAAAAAAAATAAAAAAAGAATACACCTCCTTGATATGGCCTGTCATTAGGTCCCATAATTGTGGCTTGCCAACGAAACATATGATCTCCAACTGGACCTGCAGAAGATTGTGCTGGAGGATTGTGAGCCAAATCACTAAGTTCCTTATTAATCCTTTTCAGCGCCATAGTCTGTGCTTTTAGTCTTGCTCCTCACTGTCTGGTGTGTGCTCAAAGGTCCGGCCAAAACTCTTAATTAATTATCCAGGCAGCAGGGAAGGACTGTCTTTTCTCACACCGGCTCTGCCAGACACAGGTGCCTGGTGTTGAGGAGGTGGGTCTCAGGAGAACCTTGTGGCTGGCAGCTGGAGCTGGAGCTGTGCAATCAGAATATCTGTTTTTATGACTTCTGTTTAATATTGTATTCAGTATTGTAGCCAATGAATAAAAGAATGAAGAAACCTAAAGACTAAAAGAAACTAGTCTACGGGATTAATAATGCCCATGAACCGTCACGGTCTTACAAGGCTACTACTAACAACCTGATCAGGATTGACACTGATAAAATAGGGGGAGAATTGTGGAACAGAACAGAATCCAAAATTCCTTTTAAAAAAAACAAACCAAAACAAACTTACTGGACTACTTCAGACCAGAAGTCTACCCAAAACTATATTTCTAAACATTAAACTTTAAACCAAAATTTCCTGGGGTCATCTTGTAGCTAATGAATGGTTCACAAGATAATGGATATTATTCATAAATACTGTGCTGCTTTGAAAATTAGCCTTATGAGACCAAATGATCAACAGTTACTTAAAAACAAAGATGAAAATATAAAGGGACAAATAAAGTAGATTGATTGAAACAGAAGTCATGAGAATGTGCGAACATTTTGAAGAATGTAACCCCAGTGTAATTAAAGAATATGTATAGAAGTTGCTGAATGGGAACTTAACATCTTGTGTACATATTTAAAAAAATACTAGTATTAAGATACTAGTTAAAGATTTTTTTTTTAAAGTTGTTTTACTAAGTATAATTTCTTTTTTTCTAAATATGGTTTCTTAGTAGTTGATCACATACTTTGTTGATACACTGCTAGAAAGATAATTTCATAACTGATACTCTTTAAAGCATAAGCATAGATTATTAAAATGCTTTCACTGAAAAAAATAAACATGAGTGTTATGAAAAGTGCAGTTCTTTTTATTATAGGGCCTGGGAGAGATACCATTGGATACTCCTTCAGCAAAAGGAAGACGTTCTCATACTGGCAGTGTTGGAAATACAAGGTCATCATCTGTTTCTAGAGATTCAGCTGAAAGGTAAGATCATTTGATTGTCCACATCATTAGAGAAGCCACTCCCTAGTGATAACAAGTCTCATTTTTATGTTTTCATGAAATACCCAAGGGTATTTGTCAAAATTTAATGGAGTTTTAAAAGTTCAATAAGAGCATAGGAAGTGTGAGTTAATTAGATTTAATAAGGCAGTTTACAACAACTTGTTTTTACATTCACTAAACACTTATTTTATCCATTAGTGAAACTTTAGTGTTATTGAACTTGTCAATATTAGTACATGGATAACTGATTTTTTATATGCATTCCTGGTGGCCAAGTGGTAAGGAGGTGCACTGCCAACCTGAAGGCATGCATTTCAAATCCATCAGCTGCTTCTCAGGAGAATGAGCACTCGTCTCCCATCCAATTAACTGCCTCTGAAAATTCACTGAAGAGTCAATCCTGGGTCAGTTCTGTCTCAACAGCACACAACAGCAACAACAAAGCTAACACATAATTATGATTTTTTTTTACATTTTTTTATTATTATTAATTTCAATGAACATCTACAGA